CCCCAGCCATGCTCGGCGGGGGCTCGGACCACAATTCGGCTCTGCGGATCAAGACCTGGACCGCGCCCGCACAAACCGACCAGCTCTTGGTGCACCGACGGCTCATTTGCTTCCCCAAATCCCCCTGATTAGCACCAAACGGTAATTGCCGATCCGCCCGATAACGGTGATGCCTCTTAAAACGCACGTGGTGTGCGGCAAGTCCCCCCTCCCACCCCAACTTTGGGTCTAACATGAGGGGTTTAGGAAGGAAGGAAGGAAAGGAAAGGAAAGGAGAGGGCAGCTGAGTGATGGCAGGAAACCCACGGTGACAGGCAGCGCCCTGACACGATGACAGATTTCATGCCTGGCTCCGAGCGCCGGTCTAATGAGTCTCCCTAACGAAGGTCTCAAGATCGGGTCGGAGGCAACACCAGCCCCCTCTCTCCCTACGCCCTCGGGGCAAGTTGATTTAAGACGCAAGCCTGGATTGCGGTGGAGAGATGCATCAGAAACCCGGGTTGCGGTGCGCATGGGGATTTGGGCTCTTCTTTGAGTTTACCCAGGTCACCTCCTGTCCCCTACGGTGACAAAAGCCCAGCTACGCTAAGCCTGGAAAGATTTCACCGGCACAGGAGCCACCTCGGTTCTCCTCCCGGACAGGGGCGTACGCTTTGCCCTTCTGCCGAGTGAAGCGGAGCTAAAGCCGGCCCCGTTTTTAGGTTTCCAGAAGCCGTGCAGCAGCGCAACGACCCTCGGGGAGACCCAAGGTTCGATGTTAGTAGCGGCTCGACCCAAGCGCGCAGCTCCACCCGGCAAAGCTCACCTTCTGAGCACCCGAGAAAGCGTGGTAGAAGCAGGAAACGTATGTCATGATGGCCTTCTCATCGGGCCTGAGAGTGCCTACAATATCTGCGCAGAGAGAAAGGGAGGAGAGAGAGTGAAGAAGCGGCACGGCAATCCTTGACCCCCCTCGGGCATGCAGCGGAGGGGAAGAAGCGCTTGCTGGAGCCTGGGATCCAAACCAGAGCTGGCTGACGGGGTTATTTTTGCCGCTGTGCTTCCCCTGCTTAATAGCTGAGCCTCTCGTAAAGTGCCAAGGCTTTGTTTTGAGATCTATCAGAGCCCCTAGGCCCCATCAGGAGGCTCCTTCCTGCCCCAGGTTAGTGCCGGGCCGGTGCTCTGCCAGCCCCTTGGCCCAGTTGTGCCGGCATTGCGTTACAGAGAGATTTGGGGGAAGCTGAGCGGCTTTTTTTTTCTTTTTTTTTTTAAACCCATGTGAACAAGCCGAGGCCTGGTTCCCAAGTCAACAAGAGACAAAACGGCCATCTGAAAGAGAAGTCGCATGAGTGTAGGATGCTGCAGTCGGAAATGTTACAGCAAGATGGACACAGCCGCCTCCGGTACCTTCTGAGCCCCAGAAAAGGCATGGTAGAAGCTCGACACATAGGTCATGATGGCTTTCTCGTCGGGGCGAGCTGTGTTGACAATGTCTGCAAGCAAACAACAAGGGTTAGACTGAGAGGGGGACGTTCACCACCTCCTCTTTAGGCTGGGATCTCACAAGCAGCTCTTCAAAGCCAAATAAATATACCTGTACGGGCAGAAGCACGTGTTAAATAGAGTCCCCGGATGTTAAACCACCCCCCTGCCCAGCTCTGAGCGAGGCTGGCTGCCGGCACCCTTCCTCGGCACCCGAAGGAGCGGATCTTCCATCAAGGACCTAGGTATTTAAGGCACGCGGATGATGTCACCCTCCGACAGCGCGCTACAGCTGGAAGTACCCGCAGAGCTTACCCTCTGCATCCAGCATCTTGGGAATGTCCAGGTATTTCTCTGCCACCTCAAAGGCGTTGTTTAGATTCGTCACGGGGTCGTCCTAGGGAGAGGAGATGAGCTAATGAAGAGGGTTGGCGTTCAAGGGCTGCCGGGAGCACAGACGTCTCACTGAGGCGGGTAAGCAGACGGACGGACGGACAGTCACGCTGCTCCGCCAGCTCAAAGCTCGTTTTTCAGACGAGAAAAGCAGCAGAGAAGAGACCACGCTACTACTCGGTTTTACCTTTCGGAGTTTGTCGTATTCGATGAGCTCCGGTCTGTGTCTGTGGATCAAGGCATTGAAAGCAAGACCGTCTTTCCAGCTGTAAGAGAAGAGGGGAGAGTGAGATTCCTGCGCTGGCACGAGGCTTAAAGTCACGCACACGAGTCCCCCAACATCCCCAAAATTCACTAATTTAAAGTAGAAGGGCCAAGATGAATCGTGCACATTCCCCAGATCCTGGAAAACCCCTCCTGGAAAGGCAGCCCAGAGAAGGAGCAGATATTTCAGGGGTAACAGCAGCTAAAAAAATAAAATAAAAGCAGCACGAGCTGTGTTTTCCCCTTCCAGCCGTGCTGAAAGCTTTGCCGCTGAATATTTCAGAGGAGCCCAGAAGCCCAGGGGAGCAGCACTAATGCCTCCTGCAGCGCGTGAAGGAGCGGATCTCGGAGCCGAGACGGCCGTCGAGGAGGGTTACCTGATGTGGAAGTTCTGCACGTTGACGTTCTTGTAAGGAGCCGTCTTCCTCTGACACCACAGCAGCAAGCCCTCCTTCGCCGAGGTTTCTGCAAAGGCACACGGCAGCTCAGGAATTAGCTGGAGCAGAACCGGAGAACGGATTCGGCATGCGATGCCACCTACGGCACACGTATCCATGCCCCTTACCTTCCACCGAGATGTCCTGAATGGCAAATCTGAGGATAATGGTCCAGATCATGCCCAGCGTCATCTTTGCGTTGCCGTCGACGATCTCTGAAAGCCAAAGGGGAAAAACCAGACGTTCAGCTCCCAGCGGCTGGAGGCACCCTGCGTCCCTTCCCACCTACAGACTAATTCCAAGCGCTGCGGGAGCACGGAGCCAGTGGGAAAGGCCTGCGGATTTCCAGCGCCTCATCGGGAAGCCGAACGCTAGGATTGCCCCTCCAGGACATCCAGAGAGACACCAGCTGCTTTGCAGCCGGGCAAAGACAGGCCAAGAGCTCATCAGATCTCCACCGGCACACCGGCAGCACGAGGAATTCCTTCCTCCCCTCCTCGTTTTGCCTTCGGGTGCGGAGGAACAGGCAGGAGCTGCCGGAGCAGCACCCCGGAGCTCAGATTTGGGCTCGCCACCCAACCCGCCCCACACTTTGATTTCGTTGCACGTCTTCATCCAGTACATCAGAAGCTCCGAGATGATCCCGTAACATGCAGCTCGCTCGTCGCCCACGACGTGTCAGATCCTTGCCCGACGCCTTTCGTGACCAAATAAGTCCAGAACTGGAGCAAGCGTCCTCCAAAATAAACGTTTCCAAATCCAGTTTCACGATGGTGGTGTTAATGCCTCTGCCGGACCTCGTGCCGGTCGCACCTTCGGCACGTCTGGACCTGCGGCAGCCCACCGCATCCCAAACTGACGGGACAGCTCGTTCAACCACCGTGGAGAACCGAACCACAGTTCTCGAGGAGCTTGGGCTTCCATCCGGGCCCGGGAGGCTGGAAGGTTTCACCTTCAGCAAGCAGACACGACATTTCTCTTCTCTTGAGCAACCCAAGTGCTTGTTTTGGGGCAAAGTCGAGGGATTAAGTCAAGACACTCAAAGAGGACTCGCCCGCAGTGACATGTGGGAGACTTTGGTGGATAACCGGCTGTGGTAACCGCCACCACCACACCCTCGCATCTCGTATTTGACTGCGGCACCAGTCGGAACGCGCACCAGTTTCGGGACCAGGCGGGCTTCCCCAGCAGGCAAGCGACGCCTAGCCGACAAGACTTCAAAGATACAACCTCGGAGCGAGCCACGGTCTCCCAGCCTATTCAAAAACTGGCTCTGCAAGGTGAACCGCTGCCAAACGGGGCCCCGTCCTCTACAAAAACCACCCCGAAAGCTCCGGGGCAGAGCCCTTGGGCTTCATCAGTGGCCAGTAAATCCGAAGGCAAGCGGTCCCGGCTGCTGCACGGACCGGGAAATCCTCTCCTCCAGCCCCGGGGAGGAGCACAGAGCAAGGTGGAGGGGGGAATTAAATCTGGTATTTAACCCGCTTCTCTTTAGCTGTCAGGTTCCCGCGACGGCGCCGCGTCCTCTCCCATGTGAAGCCGGCATTTGCAAGGCGAACCCTTCGACGTCCACGTGTTCGGTGCAAAGGCAACGCCGAGGCCGCTCCCCGAGGCAAAGGACATGCTCCACTTCATTCACAACCGGAGAAAAACTAAAGCAAAGCTTTTTTTCTGCTCCGTTTCACAAGGTTGTTTTTCATGGGGATGGACCAAATCGATACAGCTGCGGCAGAGCCAGGGAGCTTGCCCGGCCCCGGAGAACCCCACAACCGAGGAAAATCAGAGATCCTCATCTAATGGGAGGAATTTTGTTTATTAAACCATCATGCTTTTCCTGCCGGTACAAACACTGGGTGAGGCTCAAAGGGAACAGCGGGCAGAATGACTTGGACAACGCAGGTGCAAATATTTGGCTTTTCTAGAGATTTTTTTTGACCTGACCACCGATGGGAATTAGTCAAGGCAGCAGCAGGTACTCGTACAATGAGTCCTGGAGGAAAAGCCAAGACTTCAACTGATCATCAAATCTCCCTGCCTGTAGGCTAAAAATCGAGCAAAACCCCTCGGGGTGGTTCCTGCCACTTGTCCGGAGCTCGCCGCAGGACAGGGGCAGCTCACGCCTTGCCTACCAAACCTCGCTTTGTCCGGGTCTGGGGCGCGGGCTGGAAGGAGCCGCTCGTTTCTGATGAGTTCAGCAAACCCACGTTGCGCAAGAGCTTCCCCCAAAATAGCAGTGACCTCGGAGAGGGAGCCTGTGCCACCTTTAACCTCCCAGCTCCAACACGGCGCTCGCATGACACTTCCTGGATTGCGTGCATGGCCCCACCGGCGGCAACTCCCAGTTGACTCAACCACGGACCGGGCCGCGGCGATAAACCCACGCCGGCTATTGGGGTATGCCAGCCAGTGCCATGACTCACCCGTCGCTCGGGGCGTGTAACGCTGCCTTCAAAATACCGACTCCTGCCAAGCCCGCTGCCGTTAAATCAGGCAAATTGCAGGCAGGCGTTGTCGGCACGTCCTTCGGTGCGGGGCAGTGACAGCTGGTAATGACCGGCAAGCCTTCCCGCTACCAGAGGTGGCCTGGATTCGGCCACTGAGACGTGCCGGAGGTCCAGACTCACCTTCAGCTCCTATAGAGACCAGCTTGACGCCTTTGCTGGCGATGAAATCGAGGGCTTTGTTCACGTTGTTGATTTTATGCACTCTCATTTTTCCCCGCTCCGGTTTTGGCAATCGTTCCCCTGGAAAGAAGAAGCCAGCGGGATTAAAGCTTTTTGTTTAAGGTTAATAACAAAAGAACATGGAGGAGGATGAGCTTTTACAGGTGAGGCCACAGGACAAGAGACTCGCTTTGAGGTGTATCTGCACATTAAAAAAAACCCAAACAAAACCCTCACCATCGTCCTCAAACACCGTTTTATAAATCTCACGGGGCCTCTTCTGCGCATTAGGAATAGCGCAGGCACCCGGGGACGTCGATGACGGCAGGCGGGGGGGAGGGGGGGGCCCGGCCACGGCACCCGGC